AATAGGATAAGTATATCCAACCAACTCTTTGGGGGAATCAAAAGGCAGATTCTATTTTACAAGACAGAGAAGGGTTTTATTTGAGCAAAGATTTCCAAGTAAGATACTTTAAAATAGCCTGATTTTTTTTTTTTTTTCCTAGCCGTTCCACAGCTAAACATCCTGTAAAATAACTACTGTTTGTCTTTTTCACTATTTTAACACCTGCTCTTTATGTCATCTGTTTTGTTCACAAAGAGGCTCCAACAAAAGTAGCTTTTCCTCAGATTTGCTTTGCTAGTGACACCTGGTCTACTAAGTGAAGATGAAAAGCAAACAATAACCTTTAAAGTTGCTTATTGAGTTTACTTGCTGTGGTTTTTATTCCTTAAGATCACTAATACGCATTCCTGGATTCATATTTCAACTTACCAAAATATAACACCAGATTTGTCAAGGCTTGCCAAAAAAAATTGTTCACTTAGTTTTTGTACTATACTGAAAGTGTAATATAAGATTGTTTTTTAAAATAACCTGATGTTAATTTCTCAGCAATTGCACAAAACCTGCTTTACGTCTTGCTTTAAAAAAAAAAATTTTGCTTATTTAAGAAGCAGTACCCATTTTCTTTTGAAGTTTTGTAAAAAAGAAAAAGACGCAATTTTAGTGTGAATTAATATTTAAAAGTTGTTCCTGAAGTGTTGCACATCCCCAAACATTTTTACACTCCTCCCCCCATCCTGCCTTTAATCCATCAACTAAAGGAAACATTATGTTTCTGAATGAACTCTAGGCTGTATGAATGGAACAGCATGGGAAGTGTGCGCTTTATCTGGTTAATGGACAAACACAATGGGAAGAAAATTTGTTAAGCAGGGCCAGGTTCTTTTCTGCTCTGGTCCTGCATACAGAGCAGAAGACTTTGTTCTGTCATTACTGCAAGTTCAATTGGTTGCTGCTTCATGAACACATTTTTTTTTTGTCCAAACAGTTTTAACGCCTTACACCATCACTGTACAGACGATACACTGTACAGATGATACACAAAATTGGAATGTCTTTCAAAAGGAGATTACGTTTAAGCATTTGGATGACATATCAGAACATACCACTGTTCCACCTAATCCAGTGTTTAGCAGTAAACCAGTAAGCGATGCTGCAGAGCAAAGGCCAAAACTCTAGATCAACTGTGCAATAAAAAACCTGAAATGAACTTTCTTCTTTGACATTTGCTACTTTGGGATCAATTTGTGCAGACGTGTAAGATATGTATTTCTTAAAGTGTGTGTATAGGCAGGGAGAATAAGCCTCTCGTTAATAAGATTTTCAGTTAATTTGAGAGGGTAGGAGATTGGTATACAGATATGATACAAGACTGGAACTTTTAATTGTAGTTGTACATGTTGAGTATTATCCTTGAGAAATTCTTTATATAAAAAAGCACTAGGTTTTCTAGAAGACATGATTTTCATAAGGTCCACAACTAAAAATGTCTCTATCTAAATTAATGGCAATGCTACCATTTGGATCATGGCAACTCTACTGCAGGAACTCCATTTTTTTTTTTTTCTTTCCAGATATTTGGCCATTGAAATAACTGAATGCTGACTTGAATTTACTTCTTAGTACATAAACTAGATCCTACCTTAGACTACAGGAGGTAGGACTCTGTCCAAAGCAATAGTGTAACAGAAATGGGTCATGTTTTGTCTTTCCCGTTAGAAAAATTTGAAAAGAATTTATGAACAAATTGTTGATAGTGTATGGCATATAGGGTAATTTATTTTTTAGTTTATCAGCAGGTCAAAAGACTAGAAAATGAAAGTCAGGAGTCAACATTAAACGTAAAGTCAGAACTTCACCTTGAACCATCCCAGCAGACTAGGAGGGGAACACTTTGCTGATAGAGATGTAGCATCTCTGAACTGAGATTTGTTTTTCCTTATCCTGGAAGCTAAAAACCCTTTGTCATTTTGAAAAATGTTTCTTCTCTAGAGGAAACAAATTCAGATGTTTTAAGATGTATGGGAGTGGATATGCATAGTATTTTATGAATAAGTACCAACAAATGGTTATAATTATTATAATACTTAAGATACAGTATACAGTGGTGGCTTAAGGCATTAAGGTACAGAAGTTCATATCTCAAATATGAAAAAATATTCTGACATGCACCATCCAGAAACATCTGCATGCAATGGACAAGGACAAATACATTGTACAGCGCTGGATTTTGAAATACGCAAGAGATGATTCTGACTCTGAATCAAGGGCTGCATTCCTTTCTTAAGTAATGCATCTGTTTTCACTTAAATGTGAAAAGTGCTTGTTTCTGTCTATCAACTATGTATTTGCGAAGCAAAAGAGTACTGGCATGACCAAAAAGAAAATACTGTTTTACTTTGAGATTAATACATGTTATTGGATAAAGTTTCCAAGCTAGTTTAGATTATTTGACTCTGCAGTTTATTTTTATATCTCCAATAGGTAAATTCTTGTAAAAAGACTCCAAATGATACTTTTGCATGTGCTTAAAATTGTTGTAAATAATATTTCTAACACTCCACAAATTCCAAATTGATGGAGCAGGTATGAAACAGTACAAAACAAAGAAGAGCCATAGATTTTCTTGTACACACCTACAAGATAAAATTGAATTTGAGAGCTCATCATCTCCAAGATGTGATCAGGAAAAAATATGGTAGACAGATGCCTGTTTTACTGAACCAGTCTCTTACTAGCATTCAAAATATATTTTCAAATGCTCTGTTTGTTATTAATATGATCACAAAATTATCATCCTTGACTGGTCCAAGGTCCAAACAGCAAACTGGGAGACTTTCTCCATTAATTATTAACAATAAATACTCTTAAAAAATATATATTTTCTGTTCCTTCAGGTGCACATATAGGAAATTAGCCTGGAGATGCTTGAGTTGACAGTTTCCAGTCCTTTGTGTTTTCCTACCCACTTAGCATAAATACACTGCAATGCATAACAGCATAATTGTTAGAACATCTTAGAAACTTTTGCTGAGAGACTGAATTCCAGAATGTTTTTTTTTTTTTTTTAATTTTATTTTATTTTTATTTTTACAGCCAGTTATCTTGTTACTGCACCTTATTTGTTGTTGATTATAAATTAATTCAATAACATGCTTCTCCTGCAATCTGCCAAGGAAAACAACTGATACCATTTCTTTGATTCCTAATCAGAAGAAACAAACTATCACATATATATTCCTTAGAATACATTCAATTTTGCCTAGCAGGCACAGATAACCATTTCTAACCTTCAAAATATGAGGTTTTCAATGGCTGTAGTGGAGTGTCCTTTTCATACTACAGTATTTGCATACCACATTTTACATTAGTCTATTTACAATACTTTTGACAGTAAACCAAGGTAACTCAGTAAATCACTAGTTATTTAACAACCTCTTACACACTTTAATGCAAGAACCCCCTCTTGCATCTATTGTTTCATGGGATTTTACACAGCTCCAGCTGAAAGCCAGGATGGGGGGCAAAGACTCTGCAGCAATACCATTATAGGACTAGACATGCAAAGTGCTGCTAACTGATTTAAAATATATACTCTCAGACCTTAGATTAGGATCTACAAGGAGAAAGGTGTCACTCTGTGATCCTTCTCTGGAGCTTAGCAAACCCAGAGTTTTGTCAGATGTCTCAAATGATAGGCATCATTAGTTTATGATAATGACATCATCATAATCAGCTCCCTAGAGTAAGTTCAGTCTGTCTTTTCAGCCTGGAAGAGAAAGCAGACTGGAAAAGTTGAAGATTTACCAGCATTGCTAAAGAAGTTGCAAAAGCTAGCATGCTGCATAGCTCTCATCCTGGCATGCAACGCTGTCACTAAAGTTTGTAAACCCCAGAATCAAGAGACAATAAGTGGACAGTAGAAGCATGGATTATGCTACAAATATGTTACAAAATATATAGATAAACATTATGTATGCCATTTGTTAAAACAGCTTAGGAACAAGAGTTGAATCTGGACTAACAGCCTTTCCTTGGAGTTTGGTATCTCCCCCTTCCCACATCCTGACAGAATGGAACAAAAGATGCAAGTTGCAATTCAGAAAAAAAAAAGAAAAAAAAAAAAAAGTGTTCTGGCATCTAGAAAGAGAATTGCTGATGGGAATCTTAAGGATACAAACTTTAGATTTTCTTAAGCATGTAGGGAAAATGAGAGAAGATGGCTCTTGAACAAAAAAATATTTCATGCCTGTACTAGTATATGAAACAAGGATGTCACACAGAGAAAATATGTTGGCAGTCCAAATGCAACCTAGTAAATCTCTCAGCACAAATAAGAGCTAAACTACTGAGAAAATAATTTGTCAGTAAACTATAAATATGTTTATAATCTTCAAGAAAATGAGAGTTCCTATGGGACTGAATAAGAACCTTTAGAAATAAGCACAGGTTTTTTTTTTTTTTTTTTTTTTCTGTCATATTTGAATTTCTCAGAGTAACCAAATATTAATTACAGGTGAAAAAATAATAGAAAAGATCAGATAATTTCACAGGGCTGAGCATCTGGAAAAAAGAAAAAAGAAAAAAGAAAAAAAAAAAAAGAAAAGAGGTATGGCACAGTAATTTAATACCCAGAAATGCCTTAGAGATATGGCACATTCCACAGTGGAACAAATTAAACCAAATAACCTCACACACACACAAAACCTGAAAAAGCACTTTACAACTGGAAATACTGTGATCATTTCATTTCCTTTGACAGATGAATCTCTAGGAAATGGGGTAGAGGAAAAAAGAATCATATTTATTCTCTAGGAACAACTCAAATACTGTTTGGTGAATCTAAGTCTATTCCAGGCAAACCGAGCACAGAGGAAATGTTAAAGAATTCTTCAAGTTACAAAATCCAGATCCATATTTTGTATAAAAAAATCCAACACCTAAATAGTTCTGCAAACACTCACTGTGTCAGTTTTCAAGCTTCCTAGGAAAATATACATTACTATTCTTTAAATGCCTTTTTTTTTTTTTTTTTTTTTTTTTAATGCTTACTACATTTTCCAGGCCAAATAATTACTGAAAATCTTATTAGTTTTCATCTGTCTGTACAACAGGTTAACCCTAAAATTAAGATGTTATTCACAAAGCTCAGCAAATGTATCCTGCAATTTGCATGATTGGGAGATAGCTGTCTGTTCTCATTCCAACTTCCAGCAGTTTATGGCTTAGTCTGGAAGACAGAGGAACTACAGGAACTTTTCTAGTGTCTTTATACTGCCCATACCAAGCTTTATCACTTTATCTAATAATCTTCCAAGAGCCTACTGAGGTCACAACAAGGTCTTGCTGCTAAAAAAGAGAAGGTGACAGATTACACAACCTTCTCTCCATTAACTCCTCTCTCTGTTAGTAAAAGTATGAAAATCTAGTGTCATTCACAGAATAACATTATTCACAGAAGCTGTAAGGAGAGAAGCATTTTCCTCTCTAAATGAGTGAATACTTCACAGTTCTTACATACCGTTAACTTTCCTTGCAGTCCATCTGTCTCTAGGGATTCCTATTAAACCCCAGCAGCATATACTATCTTACCTTTGCTCAATATCTTTTTAATACTGTAGGGTAAAATAATCTTTTCAGCTTTGTATTTGTATTCAGGACTCCAGCAGCATGTCAGAGCATAAAAGATGAAAACTGTATAGTGTACTTTTGCTATCGGGGGAACAACATATCAACTTTCTATCATCGATGCTGGTCAGTGATTAAAATCAATGTCTTGTGGTAAAACAGACAAGGCCTTAACAATTTTGTTGAACAGCTAGCTATAATAATTTATTATTTAAGTTTCCAGGAGGGGAAAATAAAAAGAAAAAATGAAAAGAAGGGGATTTTCCTGGATAGATCACAACTGTCTTAATGTTAGGAACTGAAATTCTTGAAGATGCGTTCCATTTTAGACTCTGTAGTACCTATTGATGTTGTAACTACTGAGGTACTAAAAATAGCTACATGCATTTCAAAAGGTGTTCAAAACATACATGATGACAGGAATAATTCATCATTTTCAGAAGTAACATGTTAGACAATTCTGTTGTGGGACAGCATAATCAGTTACACAACTGACATCATTTGAGCTATTTCAGAAACAATATTTTGCATGCTTTTTGAAAAAATTGTCTAAAATTCATGAAAACACACTAGGCAAATGTTTGATCTATACTCCATCTAATAGGACTTTTTGATGGGAAGAAAAACTAAGGTTCTCATATTTGGATAAAGAAAAAATGTACCTGTAGAAATATATTAGGAACTTTAAATCTCTAGTATACTATATCAGTTTCATCACTATACTTTCTTTTTGATTCAGGCCTGCACCTGACACCTGTGATCCTGGAAACAAAACCTCTTTTGTTCCATTCTGTCAGGGTGTAGGAATGGGGAGACACCCAGCTCAGTGGAAAGGCCATTTCCTGGGCAATAGTGACAGCCCTTACCCCACCAGCAGCTCCCCAGTCCCCATAGGTGTTAGGTGATGTCAGTGTACCGGAGGCACTACTTTCATCATATGACCTGATGTATATACAGTCTTACCCTGAGGCATATGAGTAAGCTGAGAGTTTTAATTTTTATAGCTGCCACCTAAAAAAACATTTTAGTTTTGTCTCCCTCTGAAGAACTTGTATGGATCACACCAAGATACTTCATGTACTTCCTTTAGCTCCTTTTGTTTGACGCCAACATTGTTGTGTATACTTGTTTTTATTTCAGAAACAGTTTTAATTCCCATTGTCCATTTGCAAGGTGTAAACTACCTACAAGATCCTAGTTCAAATCCGGTTTTAAAGTGAAATATAAAGCAGCTCCTTAAAGAGAATGTCCCAACCATTCAAGAAGTAATAGCCTATTTTTTCGTTTCTATTGGCCATCAACTGACAATCTATTTCAGTCGTGAAAAAGTCAAAAATCCAATATCACAAAGGCTGCAGATCAAGACTGAAATATATGTAACTATGGCAGAGATACTTAACATACTTTTATACTGCATTAACAGATAACCTATCCATTCAACCAGTTCAGTATTAATGGAAATTTTCTGATGAATATGTAATGGAAAAAAGGTTCCATGGTTTTGCTTTTCTTCTCAGAAAACCTTTCTTTAAACAGGGTAATTCAAATGTTCAAAGGAACAGCAAGCTTCATTTTCTTAATATAACTCTAAAGTGGATGAAGTAGGCAAAAGACAGCTTAAGTGAATGAGTGAAACCAGACAAAATCTTACATTTTTATGGTTTTAAGGAACTGACTTAAAAAAAAAAAAGAAGCTTCCTTGGATGAGGTCTGAACTTTGACCATGATAATTATTCTTTCATTTTTCACTTAATGTCAAACTTCCATCCTGATGCTAGGCTTTCTGTCTCACATAATGATTACCTATAAAGCAATAGTAAATTTTATATATATTTATATATATATATATGTATATATATATATATAAATTAGTCAATCAAACAAGACCCAAACTGATGTGACCGCTACTGGAGCTGTATTGGGAATGTTTTGTGAAAAATACTCTGACATGATGAAGCAAAGTACAAGTAACAAGAGGGTAAACCCCAAGACTAGTAACCTAACCCTTAGAAGGGCTATAAACTGCAACAAATGTAAACAATCTGACCCCTGCTGAAAGCTTATCACGTACAAAAACGGATTCTGACAATATAGGACAAACAGTTAAACTGCTGTTTACTAGCTATAGAGAATGTTTAAATATAATTTAGTAATAACCTCATATATACATATATTCTGACACTTTCAAGTTTGATTTCATATAACTATATAATGGCTTGGACTGGAAGGGATGTTTAAGATCATCTAGTTCCAACCCCTCTGCCATGGGCAGGGACACTTCCCAACAGACCTTGTTGCTCAAAGGCCCACCCAACCTGGCCTTGATTTGTATCTAGAGAAAACGTATCCATGTCATGAGATCTCCTTCTTCCTTATGGCAAGTTTCATTATCTTAAAAAGGTTCTGAGGACAGCATAAAAAATCCTAAACTCTACTCTAGGCAAGTAGAAAAGTTACGACTGACTTAGTGAACCTGAGATTTCATTTGAGGTATCTATAAATTCATTTGTCTCAGAAGGCAAAATGCTTCATGCTTCTCCAGTCAAGTCCTTCACCCTCACCATTTTCCTCAGTATGCTTCCTTACAACTTCACCATGTTGTTTAAACTTGAAGCCCATAAGACAATTCCTGCCCTCAGCCAGCTTCAAGATCAGTCTTCCAACCCTCTTTTACAGCTCATTGTCTTTTTGAAGTCAGGTTTCTTTCACAACCCACCTGACAAATCCATTTTTAAGTTCCTTTTTTTTTTTTTTTTTCTTCTTCTTCTCTTTTTGCCTTCTTTAAGACCCTTCATCTTTTTCCTGACTGTCCAGTTTGAATTCCCTTTTTGCTATGTTCCTTGCTCTCAGTTTTAGATTCTTTTGGCTCAGTTTTGGACTCTTTAGTTGTTGAATTTTCTTTTTGACCCTAACCTACATGCATAATCTCCTGAGTATTAAGACAGACCTCTTTTGTTTGTTTATTTATTTATTTATTTATTGTTGGCGGCATGCAGTGTCAACAGCCTTGTACTTTTTCTGTTGCTAGATCTGGTTACTTATCTTCATAGAAGAGTCTTGCATCTAAGAGAATCTCTCGAAAGTACATTTAAAAGTGGACCATCGGAGTGGACCATCCCATCAGATCTTGACAGACAGCTTCCTCTCCTAAAATACCCATCCTAAGTGCATAGCTTTGGTTCTCAGCCATTTTTGCTGAGAGTTCCTCCTCTTCTATTATAATCAATACCAATAGCTTTGTTTGTTTTGAGAGGATCTGGCTCCTGTTTCTGGTCTTCATAGAAAGGCACCAAGATGCAGCTGTCTGGCTGTAGGCTTTCAGGAGCACTGACTGGAACTCAGCTCAAGAGGTGACTTTCCATCACTAATTGAGTGCTCTGTGGGACACCAGAGATAAAGAGGAAGTTTTGGAAGCAATGGATGGAGAGGCTTTTCTTCTTGGTGCTGTTCCAATAAACTAAACTGCCTGCTTTTGAATAGATAAGCCTAGTTATTGAGGAAAAAAAAAAAAGGATTACATAATTTAAAATATTTTTTCTCAAGCATCTGTGTCACATTTTGTTTCTGCAGTATGCTGCCTATATGTGCTGATCTTATTTCCAAATATTTGTGCTTGTCCACTCTTAACACAGCTTCCTGTTTTATCTTTCAAGCATGGAATTCCTCAGAAGCTTTGCTTTTAAGACTTTTAACTGTGCTAACAGAACAACAATGGGAAATAAACAATTACCATTTGATGAGAACATACCAAGATGTTCAGTTTTTCTACTAAGCAGAGATGAACACCTGAGCTTCCTTTACTTAAGGCAGAACTTAGTGTTTTCTGTAGTCAGTCAAGTCCATTCTGGTTTTGGGTCCCGCTTCCCCTGTTTTAGAAACCTCAGGGAGGCTCTTTGGCAGCTCTGGTCTGCCAAGCAAGGTATTTTCAGACTGGTGATGAAATTTGGCAAATTTGTCAGACACATCACCTTCCCTTGTCTATCTAGCTTATCAGAGATGGAAATAATGGAGATAAAGATGCAGCATGGCTTACAAAAGGAACTACAGCATGTAAGAGGAAATTTTTCTTTTTGGAAATGTACAGAAAAATCAGTTTGTGATATCTTAGTAGAGAAATTATATCCTCCAAAACTGAAATCAGCAGCTGATCTGTGTGCTGCCTCAGAGTCTTGAACATTCAAAAATTGGCATGTCTTCAGCTCAGATGACCAATTCTCTCTTAGTACCATCATCATTGAGGCTTCTTCTTCTTTAAAAAGTCTTCTAAAAGACTTAAACTATATTTGGAACTGGTATGGTGCAAAGTTAAAGAACTACTTAAAATACTTTCAGTTTCCTTTATCTGTGAAGTTTAAAAAAAAAAAATACACTAATGATTTTTCATGCTGAAAGATGCTCTGTGAACACAGCTTGGAAACAGGAGACACCCAGTTTTATAGCTTACAAAAGGGACTAATTGTGTTCCACAGCTTCCTAACTAGTTTGATCCTTGAACTCCGAATCATTCTTCCTTCTGGTTGGAAGTGGAATGCAAGATGACTGCTTCCCTAGAAAGCAATGCTGAGAATGAGCTGTGAATGCCTAGCACTCTTTCACTTCCCTGATAGCATACTTTGAAAAAGAGGACCATGCTTCATTGTTTCTTCAGAAAATTGCACTATTATTTGCTGTTGCAAATCACAGATTTCATGAAGTGTTCTGTAAAATAGGCTGTCCTATTGAAAGAGGAATTTATAACAAACTTGAAATCATAAATTGAGAGAAAAAATATTTAAAAAATATTTAATGAAAAGTTTATGCCAGGTAAAAATTGACTAAAAAATATAAAGTATATAAGGCTACGTATTTAAAAATATCTTAAGTACCCCCAATAGCATACCTGACAGTAAGTTTATTTCAGCTGCCTGTAGCTCAATGGAATGGAGGAAAATCCTCAAATGAGAAAGGATTACTTTAGACCTGGGATAGCACCTGTGTTTGTTCAAATGTGCTTTTACAGCAGAATTTCATTTTTATATGAGTCTGAAAAAGTCCCGGTTCACTGATGGTAGCATGAAAGTACAAAATGTGACTAAAAGCATGTAGGCTTGTCTTCAAAATGTTTGAATATCCAATTTGTGAAATTCTAGCTCAATGCTATAACTTAGTATTTCAAAAAATTAAGGATTGGCAATATTTCTTAAGCTGTTCATAAATAAGGAATCCTGTTTCTGAAGGTTTGTGGCTTGTTACACATAACGAGGAATATTTATATTCATTTCAGTGAATGGCAGAAGCATCACTGGCTTTTTGTCTTCCTGGCTTCAGTGCTACTGAACTTCGGCAAAATGCCATTCATGACTCAGACTATTTATTTATTTATTCTTTATTTTTAGACTAATGGGAACTTTATGAATTCCTTCCCTGATTTCTAAGAGAAATACCACTTTGCTGTAATCTTGAACACAGCAATTTGTAATATTAGATTACTGCCTTAATGAATATCTGCAACTCTTAATGAGAATGGTTAATCACCAAATAATTGATTTCAGGTCTGAAAATACAGTTGTTAAATCTTACTTAAAATGATTTCTGTGCCCATATAGAAACTCAGACTATTAAAAGATTTGTGAAGATGAACATGTAGTTTCTACTAACAATATTTTTGGGAACACAGGAATATTTTTCATTTGCATTTTATTTACATCTCTTAAAAATGAACATCTGTGTGCCATGTAAGGTGTAATGCATCACATGTAGTATGAAGAACTTATGTTGCCCTCCAAGTGACAAGCCACCCAAAAATACGTTATGTTCAGTTAGGTGAGCAGTAGAGAGATATACATGTATATACAAAACAAGCTCAGAGGCTGGAACCATGGGAGCTCAGCTGTAAGTTTGCCTTTGAGTTAGTTTCAGATCTCAAAGCCTCTTCCCTTTCCCTGTTTTGCTTTTTTTCTGTGTCATAGCTTTAACTGTAACTTTTGTAGTTCAAAATACGTAGAAGGTATGATGATGCCAGTGTTAGGAACAAAATACTTTGAGTCAAGAGCACACAATGAAGATAATTCTTTATAAATATTTGTACAGACAATAGAGGCTTTTCATGCATTTATTTTCAAGCAATATTAATGAAATTTTTATTTTTTATTCAAGTAGATTATTCCCAGTGAAGGCAGGGATTTTTTCCTTCTGCTAGAAAATCATCTTACTCTAATTGAGATGTAATTAGACATGAGAATAAGTTAGTAAGCTTTAACTTACTCCATGAATGCCATTAACTGAATCATCTTCTGCATATAATTTACTTCAAATTCTTTATTTACTATTCTAAGAGTTAATATTTAAACCTTCAGTATTTTATTACACAATATTAACTTCAATATTTTCTAATAAATCACAGCTCACTTTCAGCTAGTATTCACTTATGATGTTACTTTCACCTTTTGTTTGCTGACAGGAAAATGAGATAAGAGAAAAATCTTAGCTGGAGGTCTGGACGGGCAGACATGCTTGATGAAGCGTGTAAAAAGCTAATACCGTAGAGACATCTCAAGCATTCCCATATACATTCCCAAAAGATTTTTTTTTCCCTCTCTTGAGAAACAGCACATAGTCCATAGGGACTTCCTGTCCTAGGGGAAAGAAAAAGCAATTTAAATGTCTCTTTTCCAGACATAATCACTTCTGCAGTGCACTATTTTCTTCTAAAAGTTACAGGCTTCTGAAACTGATTACTGACTTTCAGAAGACATAGGAAAATATATGATTTTAATAGAAGCTAATTTAAAATAACTGAAGGTCTTATTGATGGGGGTTGATGCAATGACTTTTGAAATTTGTTCCCTTAGGTCCGCCAAGATAAATGAATCTTGGAAGGGATAGTTATTCTTCCTTCCTTTATTTATTTATTTATTTTCCCCTAACTTTAAGCAGTTTTGGTAGCCTAGTATGAACAAGTATGAAAAGCTAAATGAGAAAAAAACTATCTGCAAAATTGGAATTTTAATAGTATTCTGTCTTCATAACACCAATACATTGCAATGATATGGAAAGATATATATACACATACATGGAGAACCCCACTCCATTCATTACATATGTGCACATTAAGCAGCATGTGAGGCATATATATGTCTAACAGCTTCTTACTGCCTCTGTGAACTGCTGCGATGAAGCTGTTGTGTTCATATTTAATTATACTGTTTTCTTCTCTCTAGAGAGTCTACCTTACATTTCACTGTTATCCACATTCAACAGGATCCAAACAGATCCTATCCAAAGAATCTTATCCCAAGCACACCTTTTCTAGTGTGTAAACTTCAACTATACTACAAATAAGCAATTTGTATATTTAATATTTTTATTGAAAATGAAGTCTGTTGAAAAGTCTTTGACAAAAGACTTGCATTTTGTCTTTATATACAGAAATTTATCTGCTATTCAGAAATTTAAGTATACATGGATGAGCTTCTACAAAATGACAGTTGCATATTTAGAGTCTGAAAAAAAGTGTGTCAAATTATGGGCTAATTTCTGCTTCAGATCACTTATGAAGAAACCAGACATGGCCAGAATCCAAAGAACGCTGCCACTCTGAAACAAGAGCAGGCAACTAAGACAAAGTATGTATGGGTTAAATGTGACTCATGACATCTGGAGTATGAAAAGTAGGAAGGTATCCTCTATACTTTGAACAAATATTCAGAAAAAGAACTGAGGAGACTTATCATCATTTTCCTTATTTTGCCCTGTCATTAGAACAGAAATGGCTGCCTTAAGTTCATTTTCCATCTTGTTCACTTTTGTTTGTAGACTAAATATCTTAGGGCCCAAAATATCAGCGTGGTGACTACAGGTATTGGAAGGGCCAATTAAGTTCCTCTGGTCTAAATTCACAAAGTATGTTGTGGAAGCACAAGACATATTTAGATGTAAGAGCAACTTAACAAGCTTTTGACAACTGAATATATGTCAAACACTGTAGCTTCGATACACATTTTAAAAATGCCTTGCTGTATTTGATGGTCCACTCCTTCCCCACCTTTTTTTTTTTGTCTTTTTTTTTTTTTTTTCTTCCCCTTAGGTTAGTGCATCTGGGCTTAGTCAAAAGTCCAGTGACATATGTGAGAGACATTTCAAGAAAGTGTGGCTGGGGGGCATGGAAGCATATGACCTCTCCATTTGGCCAGCCATCAGCTGTTAGATAGAATGAACTCTACCAAATGCAGCTGAGTTTCATGTACCACACAAAGCAGTTGCTGAGTTTATGAGGCTAATGACATTTTTAATGCAATAAATTTCCTGATTTAAATACAGGACTATAGAGGTATGACTACAGATAAATTTGACCTCTTTGCTATTTCTCCTAGCAGGTATAGTATTAGAAAGGATGCTTTATTATAAAAATAAAGATTATCTTTGCATTTCAGTAGACAGGCTTTAAGAAAGCCTAAAAAATGTGCTTTGGGAATTTTCTCAGACTTACAGATAAGTCCCTGGAAGTAGTAAAATACTTAGTCTAGTAATCTATATTTGATTCAAGGAAAAGATATCTTGATAGTTTCTAATGATTTTAGGGATGGATGAAAAGGATAATGCTGCTCCAGCCATCTACCTACTTCTTCCACAGGACACAGCATTACATAGAAAGTCATGTTTAATATTACCACTCTTTCTGAAAATGAATGTGACAGTTGACAGAATCAGATTATAAATACTATAAAGAAATCACCAAAATTTCTTTGGAAAGACTGTTTGCTCCAATAACTGACAAATTCTATAAAATGAAACTAGCAGCCAGCATTATTTGTACTGTTTATACAGGGTAGCATTTGGCAAAGAAGTATGTATTCATATAGCTATGTAATTTCTACCAGGAACACGAGAGCTTAATTAGTGTAGACTAACCATTTGGCAGAAAAGAGCAAAAGCAAGACGTCCTTTACAACTTTAAATGAAAAAGGGGTAAGTTAAAGTGTCTACAAAATGTACAAATAATTTGCTGATTCTTTGGAAAATCATTCTGTAACATGGACACAAACTATACAACAGAAACGAGGAAGGCTCTTCATTTAAATAAGAATTGGCAAACTGTTGCTGTCATAAACAATTTATAACATCTCTGCCAATAGTTTGAAAACAAATTGCTGTTAACACATACCCTACATGTTGTCTTTTCTTTCTTGCCAATTTAAAGCTTGATTTAAGGAAAAAAAAAATAGACAATCTTGGTTATAAAAGTAATGTTTTGGAATGGGCTCCATCACATCTTTTGGCAACTTTGCTAAAGTTTTAAATCAAATTTTATGATTTTGTATGACTTGAAGTACTGAAGAAGCATGACAATCTGAAATTAAAATCCTTAGCAATCCTGAAATATTAAAAATAAAAATAAAAAAAAAATTAAAAAAGAAAAAAAAGAAATTAAAATCCTTTCAGCAATCACTGAAATATTAGGAATTACACAAATATGTGCCCATCACACAATCTTCACAAGTTTCATTTACATCAAAAAAAGAATTCCCCACACCAAAATCAACATAACATTATCGCAACACCAATGAAGGTGGAAAAATTACACACACTCCACCCATTGTGCCTTTACACATTACAATACTTCATTCTCCATAATTACTGCATTCTGGAGATAATAGAATCACAGAGTCATAAAGGTTGGAAAAAGACCTCCAAGATCATCTGATCCAACCATCCCCCTACCACCACTATCACCCACTAAACCATGTCCCTAAGCACCAGTTTCAACCTTACCTTAAACACCCCCAGGGACACTGACTCTACCACCTCCCTGGGCAACCCGTTCCAATGCCTGGCTACTCTTTCTGAGAAGAAATGTCTCCTCATTTATAACCTAAATCTCCCCTGGCATGACTTGAAGCCACTCCCTCTAGTCCTATCGCTGTTTACCTGTGAGAAGAGGCTGACTCCTGGCTCCCCACACCTTCCTTTCAGGTAGTTGTAGAGAGTAATAAGGTCTCCCCTGTGCCTCCTCTTCTCCAGACTAAACAACTGCAGTTCCTTCAGCCACTCCTCATATTTCCAGGCCCTTCAACAGCTTTGTAACCCTTCTCTGGACATGCTCTTTCTTGAAGTGAGGATGTATTTCTTGAAGTGAGGGGCCCAAAACTATTGTCAACTATTTCTCCTTTCAAACTAAGCTATATTTCTTTCTCTCTCCTCTACACTGTTCTTCTGAGAAGATTGTTTGAATTTCTGAAGATGCTTCATTAAGAGTCAGCTATTAGGTTTTGACAATTATTTTGTCCAAAATAATCATCATGTAATGAAGGTTAACATATATTAAGACCAAAGTCTTATGTTCAAGCTTTTTGTTGAATTAACAAGAGATTAAAATTTATCTTCCCCAAAGTAGTCATGTGACAAAGAAGAAATCTGACAAATAAACCCTGTTGCATCTTTAGAATTGGATCAAAGTATTGAGAAGACAGACAATATTTTGCTGCACAAACCAAAATACCAAGCTACTGATCTCTTGGACGGGAACTGCAGCACTTCATTCCTGTCCCCTTCCTTCTTGTAAATGACCCCGGCTATTCTCCCCTGCTCAGAAATTCTGAGTGTGCAACAACACTTATAAATAAAGGAGACTGCTTGGCAGAAGCTGATGGAGAACACTCCGCAAAGAAGTGAGCACAAAAAAATTAACTCTTCCAGATGGCTGCAAATCGTTAATATTGGTGAAATTCAGTCAACTACCTTAACCAGAGCCCGTATCAAAATATTCTTGTACCCACTTTCAAAGGAATACACCTTTATATAAAAGTATGCAAATGTTTTGCTCTCACTAAGATCAGGGGAAGAGGATAGGCATCTTGGATGAAAGTAACTTGTATTCATCTTAGAAGATGAAAGTAAGCACCTGCCTCTAAAGCAAGCAAACACACACAAACAAACAACCAAAAACCACACACAGAATGAACAAAAAGCAAAAGAAATGTAGCTGTTAAGAATTCCTATTTTCTACAATTTCACATTTTATGGCACAAAGGGAGTGGATTATAAACCAAGAGAGACGAGTGCATATCTTTATTCAGGTCAGGAAAAAATATTTTTATGATACGTACAAGCAGAGAATGCACAGAAGTGGAAGAGGATTATTGAATACAAAGAAAAGAACAGAGGAGTTTATGCAGGTATGCTTTGTAGGATTTTTAGGGGGAAAAAGCACAAGAAGCTACAAAGCCACTTAATAGATCCATATCATTTTGATGCTTCATGTTGCTCTAAATTAGGATAAATGAACCAGATCATGAAACTGGCCATTAATTTTAAAATAAATCCCTTTTCCTGTTCATATTTCATATTAGTAAGCACTAATACCATATTTCCTAAATTATCTATTTAACATTTTTCAGTTGAAAAATAGATTTGAAGACAAACTCTTAAATTGGAGTCAAGAGAATACTTCAACAACTTAGAATGGATCACATGAATGATACATTATTTGAAAAAAAGAGCAAATGATACAAAGTTTAGATGTTCAGAGTTAGGCTTATACTTAAAGATATTCAAGTAAGATAAATTACGAAACTGCAGATCTGTTTATCTAAACAAAACTGCTTTCTAAGGTTGCAAGCACAATTATAAGGGGTAT